AGCTCGTTATCAAATTTTTATCGAGTAAGTGATTATCGGATGTCATTTACTTTACCGGGTGAGTATGACAAGAATCAAGAATCTCACCTGGTAAGAGGTATAGCAAGTACCTAGAATTTTACGCGGTAAGTGAGAAGAAGACTTTTATCGGTAAATGCCTACCAGATAAAAAATGTTTACCAACAATTTATTTGGTCCATGTGGTTTGTAAGAACCAACACTTTATGTTCTTGTAGTTTTGAAATTATAATATGACTATCCAAATTTGGTCCATCCTTCTAACAGCCGTTTAATTTATTTTTTTGTTAATGTAAGACATTTTCGTCATTTTGTCGATATTTTATCTTTTACCTGATCAAAATCAATTTTATAATTTTGGTCCTTGTGGTTTTTGGTCGGATAAAGAACAATAATCTCGACCAAAAACCGAAAATGACCCTCATTTAATAGAATATTTTAACGGACATTCAAATGAGGGACCAAATCCGAAAACTTTTACAAATTACAGTAGTCACTTCGTAATTTCGAAACTATATAGATAAAAAAAAACTTTGATTTTGACAAATCACATGAAGTAAATTTGTAGTTTACTTTGACCCATCTTAACCAAACACTCTTATGAGAGAGATTTGATACATAAATTAATTGTAGCGTGATTCATATTGATATTTTTTTTTATTATAAAAATAATTGTAATATTAATCCTACCTAGAAGAACTCATATTTAATGGATCGTCGTTTTAAGGAGTTTGAAGAAAAACGACAAGCTCGTGAACCAGTCAAAACCATCTGCTTTGTATCTTTATCTCTAACTTCTTTAACTTTCCGCATCATCGTTTGAGATTCGAAGCTGGTTTTTGAGCAAAAGGTTGAATACCGGCAACTTGACCGGTGCAACACGGAATCTGTTTCCTAGATATAACAAAAACATGCAAAGAGACATTTCAGTACTAACTCAGTGACTAAGTCTAGCTAAGGGGATCATATGGCCATCTTCCATAGGATACAAACTTAAACTCGTTGCGTATTTGAGCAAAATCGTTCGTCCCTTTACTAACTGAGCGACACATTCCAGGGAAGATTCGAAATTGGTTTTAAAATAAAAATTTTGCTACAACAACCCCCAAGGCTGTCTAAAGTATTAATTTACACTTAAGATGCAATCTCCGGTATAATTTTAAAATAGAGAAAATAAAGATATTATAGATTTATTTTTATTTGAATTAAGTATTCGTCAAAATCTAAAATCGAGAAATTGTTGTTGTTATTATTCCGCGGATCAAATTAAATATTTTTTACTTTATACAAATTTATTTAAAAAATTTCTTAAAATATTAAATCAATTAAATATTTTTATAATATAATTAATATTAAAATATCGAAAATAGAAAATCTATTAAACTTAAATTTTGATATTTATAATACAATTAAAATCGGTGGGAAAATAAATAGAAGAGCCTATGGCGAGGCAATGAGTTGGATTGAAAGGTTAAATTTTTATTTTTTATTTTTTATAATTTCATAATTAAATTAATATTAAATATAATTACGAAAATTATTACTAAAATAATGATCTGTTTCATTTTTTGGAAAATAAAACAAGTTTATGAACGTTTGAATGATTTGATGCTTACAAGTAAACTTTAACTTAACTTATCGAATAAGGTTTTAGTCTATTAAAGTACTTATCGTGTAAGAATCATTACTATTATTTACCGTGAAATTGATCCTTGTAATTGTTCATGTCGGACAAAATTCTTAATCGTTATCATGTTCATCCGATAACGTAAAATGACCCGTATGAGTTTGGTTCAATATTCAAAGCACTTGATCTGCAAATCAGCAATGTTTTCTATTTTCACACATTCCTCCTTCCACTTCGCAAAAATTGGACCCTTTGATTTGTTGTTCCGCATATAATTCATACGGAATCATTATTTGAGATTGTGTTTGTGCTTCGGAACTAGGGAAAGCGTTTGATTTTCAGATATTGAAATGGATTTTTCAGTATAATTAGCATACATGGATTATTATGGGATGTTGGAAATTTGAGAGTTGAGAAGAAGGTGTTTGATAAAATGTCTGAGAGATGTTGTGGCCAATAATTCTATGACTGTAGCTAGACAATTATTTTCCAAAAGAGCCATTGAGAACAGATAAAAATGTTTCAATATATATCGAGAAAAACGATTCAAGTCTAGCCGACCCGGGCTCGAACAACATGTTTTGTTCATTGTTTTGGACCCTTAATTAGGTATGTACCCTTGTAACTTGCATTCCTATATATGCTATCCTGCTAGTTTCGTGTGCTAATACTTGCTAATAATAATGCATTACCATGATTTAATTACAATCAAGAGAGGGATTTATCTGGGATATGTTCTTATTCTATTAAAAGATAGCTTCATCAGAAAGCATGTAAAAGGTCAGAGAACCAGAAGACTGGAACCCTTTTACAGTCTCTTGGTTTGTTGGTAGTTTGTCTGTTCTGTTCACTATTCTTATAATATTTGCATATTATAAGCACCAAGTCCCTTTCAAGACCATTGAGATTTTCATGGTATTAGTCGAGATATGTACAAACTGATTAGAACACCCACGGTTAAAGAAAAAGAAAAAAAAACTACACAAGTTACCATAGACGGATTAGGTGACAGGTGCCACCGTATTGTTCCTCTGTGGTAAGGTAAAAAAAAAAAATTAGGTTCGTGAAAGGTGCAACCGTTTTATTCTAGAAGGTGCAACCGTTTTATAGGGTGTCACCGTATCCAAAAATTCTTGGGTCCGTTACTTCCTTTAGATGCCAGAGTTACTAATTCTAATCATCTCTGCTGTGCATCTTGAGTTTTGAACACACGTGATCACCCTAAAGTCCCAAACCTTACTTACGAACTAAGAATTCACAAGTTAAGTTCCTTTTTCAAATAAATGTTGATGATGGAAGGAAAACGACCGATCAACAACAATATGTAGTCGCGTAGTAGAATTAACCCATTTTATAGTAGACTTTGGCTACAGGGAAGTTGATGAATCAAATCAAATGACAGCAACTTAATTACTATACGAGTTAGTCAATTATCTTGCATTACTAACAAATGAGCATGGTTGCATATCGTAACTCATAAATCCTATTAGTTCCTTCATTCAGACCGTTTGGCAACCATAAATTAGCTTACCTTTCGAGTTCACTGAGAAAACCTCGTTTAGTTAGCTGTAAATGAACTTTTTGAAAAACTACTTCGAGTATCATTTCAATAAGTTCTACGAAGGGTTTTCTGGTTTTCCCACTTATATTTCTTTTCTTACTTTTTCCAATATGTTATTTTTAGGTCATTTTATATTGTTATCAGTGTATCAGCTCGTTTTACCATGGTTCTAAATAACTTGTTATGGCCTCGTTTTGGCCCGTTATGGCACTGAGGCTTGGCTTCGGTGCCACATTAACCCCTATGGCTCCACTTTAAGTCTTGACTTTTGTTGCAATGATTTATGGCATATTACAACGCGTTGTTTTGTAAGGCATGGATTTTCTATTAGTTTATATATATATATATATATATATATATGCAGGGACAAAATGATAATTCTGTATAACACTTCACTTAAATTATAAAGAGTAAAATGAGATATATAAACTAAAATCCTAAATAGGTAAATCCTTACTCTCGTTCTCGTACATGACAAAGAGTCGAACATGAGTTCTTTGAAGATTGAAGAAAATAATGAGTAAAGAGACTCAAGAGATTTAATCCCGATTTCACATTTTTGATATCATTTTCTTATAAGCTTGATCTTTCCTTTTTATTTTTTAACTATATATATTGAATTTAAGTTGTTCTATTGGATTATTCAGAACACTAACATACACAGGTATATCTATACACAGACACATACAAATATGCATGCATATGCCGCCTTAGCGCATGTCTTGAAAAACACCGTGGCCTTGCTGTTACTCGTAAGGCTTGATCTCGTCGCCATGTCACGCCTCACGTCATTTAAAACATTGGTTTTTACTAAACATGGCTAGCTTATCTGTTATTGGATTAAAAGATAACTGCATCATGATTAACAGGTTGACTTTTGATTAACAATATATAAGAATAGGATTTACCATATGAACTCAATTAAGGGTTGCACCTGCACACTAGAAAATGCCTGATCAACTGAGTGGCACATGGATCTTCATTTAAGAATTTGTGATTCTTGCTACAATGGCGGTCTCACATGTTATATAATTAACCTGCATATCTCATTAATACCTTCAAGATTATAGCAACCCTTTATTTATCTTTGCTTCTTTTTTATATCAACTTTTATGTTTGACTCTAGATTCAACTTACATTTTCAATATAAAAAGATCCAAAAAGCTTGTTTCTTGGGGTACTCACATGAATAGGAAGCTCTTCTAGGAGCCTTAACATGTCAGTGTCAGTGTGTATGAGAAGGGAGAGAGAAAAAATATATATATATATATATATATATATATATATATATATTATATGCGAATCATCATGTGAGAAGGAGAATTAAGGTAAGAAGTGTAACAAGTGTAGAATGAGGTTCACAGAAAAACTCAAAAAAATGAAAAACCGAAAAACACCCTAATTATTAATCTGTATGGTATGCACATGTGCATGCAAGTAATTAAAGATATTTCTTGGTTTCTATACACATGTGCATATTGAAAAAATTACTTACATGTATATACTATACGGATGAAGATTACTAGTGTGTTTTTCGGATTTTATTTTTTAGGAAGTTTTCCAAAACCTCTCTTTATGTGTGTGTATATATATATATATATATATATATATATATATATATATGTATATTTAGAACCCAACTATATTATAGTAACCAAGCCCATATCCCTATGTGAGAATTTCATAATGCAGATTTCAAAGCACCCAACCACTCTTTAGTCTATAGCTTTCTATTGTTTTCTAAACGTTCAAATATTTTTAGAGTGACTTGAGCTTCAAGTCATCAAGAAACCGATGAAAACCCTCTCCAGTAGTTCCGACCTTCCGACGAAGAGCGTTAAAACACGGGAGGATAGGCGATTCTCCACGAGCTCAAGGCGATTATCGAACGAGATGATGGCAATGCATCACTCTTCTGTAGAAGTGTATTATGGTGGTGCACCGGTTGCTGTCCCATTCAAATGGGAATCACAACCAGGTACACCTAGAGTGGGGTTTCACGAAACCCCACTTCCGCCGCTCACACCGCCACCATCTTTTCTCTTCAACTCCCCCAAAACACCCAACAAGAAGACCTCAAAATCCAAAGGAGGTATTCTTCTTGCTGTCCTCCCTAGGTTCAGTAGAAAAACCCACAATTCTCCTGCTTCACCGGCTTCTTCAGAATCATCTTCTTTGTTCTCCACTTGGTCATATTCAGATTCTGCATCATCTCCATATACCCCCAACAACCACAGGCAAAGCCATAAGAAATCATTTGAAGATCAAGATCGGCACAAATCACCAGTTTCAACTCTAATTTGTTTCCGTATCAGGCGTAGTAAATAGGGTCATCGGGGGTGCGTTTGCTACGCAGATGGGACCGCACTGGATTGAACCGGACAAGACTCAACAGGTGAAAGTGCGGTAGACAGATAAAAGAATTACGAAAGGTTTTAACTTGACATGGTTTATATAGTAATTTACCAATCTTGTCTGATATTTTATGTTAATGTTCCACCTCTTTTTGTCTCGCTCAGTCTGATGTCACAGCAAACGGGGAACAATAAGTTTTTGTTCAGTCTGTCCTATCCCGCGTACCAAAGGTGCCCCACGAGATCTTGTTTCAGTCATGAAGAACATTGTTCATGGTGGTTTCGTACCTCTGAGTATTTTGTACCTTCAATACTCTTAACTCAAGAAATAAATGTTTCTAGCCCTAAGATCACTGGCTTATTAGAAGATGGAATCAAACTATTATGGGGTTTTTAGTATGGCTTTTTAGATATATGAAGCATTTGTGCATGATAAGTTCGTGTGGCTAAATATGCATGCTGAGTTGAATTTACTATTTTTTATGGGTGTTTTTGAATTTTGATTTAATGTGTTTCTTGAATCTTGATACTAAAATCTTGTATATGATTTTAAATCTCACCGGTTTTATCTGGTTAAATGATTTGGTGCAGAATGATTAAATAATTATAATATTTATAGTTCAGTGCTGCTTTTAAGAATTGGATGATTTGCATGAGAATCGAACTTATTCGGATGTTGGTAGGCTCTGGATGACATCATTCAGATGCAATCGAACGGTCATTCGATTCTAGGAGGAAAAAGGTGATTTTAAAAGGGGAAATTGACTCAAATGATCATTTTCCACGTCTAAATTGGTTTCTTAATCATTTCTCTCCCGGATTTATCCAAATGTCACTACTTCCGCAATATTCAGGTTCGCAATATTACGGACTTGGCTAAAAGGCAAAAAAATAATTCAAATTCAACACAGATCTACAAAGCAATTCTCTTAGCCGCCATACCCGACACGCTTATTTGACATCCATATGATCTACTAAAGTAGATCGTAACTACGTAAGAATGAAATCTGACACCCAAAATTCTCATGTCTGTATCTGCCTCATGAGCCGGATGATTGCCTCCGCGGAATGCTGGAGGATGTAAAAGATTGGAAAAGTGGTATCCCATTGGTTCATCTTTCTTTATTCACGATCTAAACCTGAACGGTAGAAATTCACAAATCTACCGTGATCCCATTCCGAACTCGAAATGTGGAATCGTTGCACCATATGTACTAAGATTGTTTGGGAGATATGGTCCCGTGTGATAGGTGACTATCTAGCACGGTTCGAAAAGCACTTTCAGTCTGCCTAGGTCCCAACTGCGAGCCAAATCTGCAATAGCGACTGTAAACTCGCTAAATTTGATCTTTTTTATCTTTTAGTTAATGTTGCGGACCTGAATATTGCAGAAGTAGTGACATTTAAGTAAACCCGGGAAATGGTTCGAAGAACAATTTGAGTGTGGAAAATGGTTATTTGAGTCCATTTCCGTTTTTGTGGGACTTGTTATGTACAATGCATTAGATGTTTGTACTGTACATGTCTTGAGCACCAAGAATTTATTGCAGTTATATTTTTCTTGTAGAAGCTAAAAGATATAATTAGGGTGTTTATCGGTTGAAATAATGGATTTAGATATTAGAGTTTGAATTTTGCCATTCACAGCAATTCAATTCACATTCGATAATTGGTCCAATCCAATGGATGATTGGATTGGATTAGAACGAATCCTATATTCAACAAATTAATTCCGCATTAAACTAAGGGTCTGTTTGTTTTTATAAAATTATCTCTTAATACCTCTGAAGTCTGATTTGTTCAGGCGTTTGGATATTAAGAGCATTTGTTTTATTTCTACAATAATAGCTTAAAAGCTCTAAATGTCCTCTAAAATTTTAAGTGATAAACGTATCCTTTAATACCTCTTAATCCTAATCCGCTCTCTATCAAATGGTTCTTATTTTGGGGGCTGAAAGAGATTTGTTAGCAAAAACTATTTATCTTTTATATTTTTGTGAAAGATTATTTATGTTTTATATTTTTGCGTTAGTTTGACCGATTCAGATTTCAGACTTTAAATGTAAAAACAAACAATTTTACTAATCCAGATTTCAGACTTCAGAACCACCTCTTATAAATCAGAAGTGAAATCAGACTTCAGCACCTCTTAAAAAACAAACGCCACCTAATTATTCATATATTTTTGTAATTTCTTAATAAACACTACATATAAATATCAACTAAAAGTAGAATATCATTAATTATATATATTTTTTAATTGAATGATATTTGGATCGGATCGGTTCAGTTTATTGGATTTTAGACTGTCATCCAAGAAGCAACTTAGTTGCTGAAATTGTCGATCTAATCCAATTATAATTAGATACTCATTATAGGGACTCACTCATTTAAGAACTCATATATATTATGAACAAATTAAAAGTACCCAAAGACCAAAGTTAACGATCTTATGGATTCTTTTACAACTTTTGTTGTAAATTAATTATTATAATCGTTGATATATATCAGAAATTTGGGTAAAAAGTTTATTACCGACAGTCTCAACCAACCGCCACGAAACTAAGCGGTTGTTGAATGGTTCGGTGCGGAATGATTAAATGATTAGAATGATTAAGAGGCTCTCATGATAGTGCAAAATGAAATATAATTATTTGGTAATTGTTTGATAATTATTTACAATAAAATTAGAGCGCTTAATGGTTAAGGAAGACACATGATACAAAATCATTCAGAGAGTTTTAAAACCATTAAAAGACAAACTTTTTTTTGCCAAACAATATCACCTCTTAACGATTCATAGTTTGCCTCTTAATGGAACTATTAAGAGGTAAACAAACAACCTCTAACATAAGAAGACATTTATTGATTCAACTCAACTGTTAAGGCTAGTGGGAGACCTGGGATTGGACCCATCACCTGTTTTCTATCTGGACAAAATCGTCAATTTATAAAAATACAACAAAATTTAAATTTTTAATTGTCAGTCGAGAATTAGAAACTTAAATACAACTTCCAGTTCAAAAAAGGAGCAAATTTGAAAAGTTTTAAACAGAAGTTGAGTGTATGCAATAATAAGTTGTAACCTTGAATTTTAATCAGGGACGAACCTCGTATGATACCAAGTTTTTTTTTCTTTTTCAATACTATGAACCAATCAATTATATTGGTACACTAAATCTTATACCGTGTACCAACTTTTTTTTTTGGTTGGTATATGTTACTACTAGTTTTGTACCAACTTCAAGTTACATATAGGAAAACTTGTTATTTTATTCAAATTTTGAGTGACATTTTGAGTTTACAGATAACACATCATATTTAGGCTTTTTAATTGCAAGTGCTAAAACTTGCAAAAATTCAAATGCTCAGAAAAAGAGTTAAAAAACGTACAACATTTAAAATTCAATATATCAAAAATACAAAAAGTAATAAACAAATAACTAATTCAATACCATGGTACATGACTTCTAATACCATGTATCAACTAAGTCTACATATTCAGTAAAGTATTATCAATCAACTGTAATTGCAACCACTTAAATCGGTACCAATTTAACTAGTATGGTTGGCAGTTGGCACCCGTGTTAGGGGTCGTTTACCAAACGTTACCCGGTTAAGCGCTTACTAAGTCAAATTACCTTATGGTATGAATATGTTAAGGACCAAAAATCTTACCCGGTAAGAGGGAGACAATGACCGATAGTCTTACCCGGTAAGTGAGGGCGACGACTCTTATCATGGTAAGCACTTACTGGGTAAACTGTTGCATACAATGTCGTTTTGCTGGACTAAAGTCTTACCTGGTAAGTAAGTGGTAGTGTTAAATTTTACCGATAAACGCTTACCGGATAAGTGTTTGATAAACGTCCCATTAATTGTTTTTAAAAGTTATACCAAATACTTTGTAAAGCTAATAATCAACGCATCACAACCCTACAAGACAAATTGCATAAAAAAACAAATATACCTTTCTTCGGTTATTATTTAAAAAAAACCATATTTCAAATTAAACATTTAATGATCCAATTGTCAATTTATGTACCCCTTGTTAAATTATACTAATATACAAATTCAAACTATATATCATTAAATGCGAACTTTGAAATACGGTTTTCAAAATAGAAACCACATCAATTTTTTTTTATTAACCTGGATATTTAACCCGCTATGTGAGCCGACTAATCCCTGGACGACTATCTGCTTTGCAGATAACTCGAAGTTACTGTATTTGAACATCCGTGGCTACAAAGAGATTTTTATTCTTCTTTGGATTTGAACTTGAGACCTCTTGGTACTTTTGACCTTTAGATCCTATTCCTATGCATTTTGCATATATCTTGAAAAATAGCTCAACCAATAGGACTTCCTTTTGTTTCCTAGAGATATATAAAACTGCTATAAGATTTATCTGACTGTTAATTTCAATATCCATAAAATTAACCAAAACTGCTTAAACGAATCCTAAAAATTATGGTTACAATCACAAGGATTGTGTCTGATTGATTTAAGATTGAGCTCTAAAGATTGAAAGTGTCTGGAGGTCGCATGTTCAAATTCAAAGAAGAATAAAAATCTCCTTCGGTTTGAATGCGGTAACTCTATGCTACCGACAAAACGGGTGGTTATTCTGTTATTAGTTGACTCGTATAGCAGGTTAGATACTCGGGTTAATAAGAAAATTATGGTTGCTAAATTGGGTGAGAGTGAGAGGGTATGAAATTTTAACAAGTGTGCGATTTCTGAGGCTCAAGAAGCGGGTCAAACGCATTTAAAAAAAGATTAAAAATTATAAATTTATTCAAACATATTTTTAATAATAATGAGTTTTAAATTAATGGATATTGATTTAATAGACTTGTAGTTATTAAGTAATTTTATATAAAATAGTAAATTTAACGTACTATATATTTATGCATAAAGTTTTAAAAACAACTAATAATGTATTAAGTATTATTACTTTATGCATTCAGT